ATTGAGATGTTTTTTCCCGGGTGTCATCAGATGCCATCTGCTATTTCAATGCTCCCTAACCCGGTAAATCCAGGATTTTGATGTCACGTCAAACCCCACATCTAAGTAATGTATGCATACGATATATGTGCACGATGCATGTAAGAGAAGACGATGCGTGTGGGAAAGTGTTGAATAGCGCGAAATGAAATATCGCACGGCGTGCATACGCGTATGCTTCAAGTGTCAGAAATAAAATATCGACATTTGCTATAAGAGATACACAAAACACTGACGTGACACGTGGGATACATTTAAATCGCGTCTGTTGTAAATTATAATTCAAGACGCTGTAAATTCACCGGCATTATCATGCACGAGGGAACATAATCTGTTATGACTTGATAAGAAATTGTTCACTTTAAATTACGATACAATTTTTTCGGAACAATATCTTCTGCTCAAAAAATAACCGGAATTATTCATTTAAATGACGCGCGTTTATATTTCCAAATCTTTTGGTGCTTAAGTTGGTATCACTGTATTTAGCTTATTAGAATTAGAACATATTAGAATTAGAGTGCGATCTGTCAATTAGTTTGTTCGTGGCAGCTGTCAATCGACTTTAGTACTATTTACGATTTTTACGATGTCAAACATTATGGAGCAAAGAGTTTGCTTTAAATTTTGTGGTTTCAACGAAATTTCTTGTGCGGATGAGTTGAAAATGCTACAAAAAAACATATAAAGATAACTATATTTCAAAAATATAGGCGTATGAAAATGAAGCAAAATCCAAAAAACCACGTCAAAGTCAGTGACAAATTAAGGCAATGTTGACCGTTTTCTTTGATTGTAGTGGTGTCGTGCCGCGATTTAGAATTCCTTCCGGAAGGTGAAACAGTTAATAAATTTTACGTTATGAAACGTTTGAGAGAACAAAACCATAGAAAAAGGATTTGTGTACAAGACAACTCATGGATTTTGCATCACGATAATGCACCATCGCACACATCGCTTTTCTTACGTGACTATTCTGCCAAACATCCGATTAACATCATTCCGCAAGCATCGTACTCGCCAGATATGACACCCTGTAACTTTTTTCTCTTCCCAAAACTCAAATTACCGCTTCGTGGTAAGCGTTTTGAGATGTCTAAGGTAATAAAAGAGAATTTGCTAAAGGAACTCAAAGCTATATCAAAATCGGCTTATGAAAAATATTTTGAAGATTGAATTAAGCGTTGGCATATGTATATTATACAGAATGGGAACTATTTTGAAGGCAACAAAATAAATTTAATGAATAATAATTGAATATTTTGAATAATTGAATATTTTGTGTTTTATTGCCCGATTACTCAATATTAATAATAACAGGAGCACGTTATTATAGATTTTGAGTGTTCTTCCGAATGGATCACTTCTTCGATTAAAATAGACATATTAGGTGAATTCAAGGGATTATATTAAAGTTAACTCTCAAGGTCCCAGTACGAGTTTTGAATAGTTTAAAAGATAGTATTATAAAATTGAATAGTTTAAAACTATTTTTACCCTTTCTCACTTGACATGAACGAATTTGATCTTTATATATAGTATGAAGGTCATAATCTTGAGTATTTTCTATTAAGTTTTGGCCGTCACTCGTTAAAAATTGCTCATTAAAAAATTATTAATAAAAATAGTCTGAAGATTATATCAGTTATATTTCGAAATAGATTTTCGGCAAAATAACAAATATTGGGTATTTATGCATAAAAGAGGTCCCCTCCCCGATTTAATTTATTTTTAAATATGTTGTTGGGGTTCTTTTTGAGTCGTTTCATATACATATATAAGGGTGGGACGCAAATAACTTCGGAGATATAAGCTGAGAAACGATGAAAGTAGTAAATATGAAAATTCATTTAAAGTAATGAATCATCGAAACATACACACACACACACATACACACGCACACACATACCGAATGGGGGAGCGGGGGAGCCTTCGGCCCTCTTCACCCGCACCCCTCCTCATCTGGTCGAACTTGCGTCACGTGGAAAATCGCAAACTCATATGACACAGAACAATACGACTTTTCATATGAAGCGAGTTTCATCCGTCAAAGGGGGGAGCAGGTGGGGGGCCTGTTTGTTTATGTTTTCAAAATAATCCTATTGGTTTATTTATGCTTGAATTTCTTGATATATTTTCGACGAAGAACATTCAGTATTCACTTAGAGATCGTCTCATCGTACAGTTTTCGGATTGAAGAATAATGAAATTACACGAATTTCTATCCTTTCTCAACCTGTATCTCCGAAGCTATTTGCGTCCGTCCCTTATATATGTATATGAAACGACTCAGAAAGACTCCCCCAACAACAATATTTAAAAATAAATTAAATCGGGGTGCCCCTTTTATGCATAAATACTAAATATTGTTACAGTCAATGTTTCGAGTGATCTTCAGTAAATTTTAGCTAGAACGATTATTGTTTATTAAAAAGTTATTAACAAAGAAAATGTAATCAATAAAGTAATTCTTTTACATTTTGTATAGATTATGCGTTTTCGTGAGAACAGTATATGTGTACTTTAAATCTTTCGCCTTATTGATTTCAGGTTATCGTATATTAGGTGTACAAATGAATAATCCAATTTTTTCAGCTACATTCAAGGTTTATTTTAAAAGAAAGTAAATTAAATTCTTCAATTAAAGTATTCGCCGTTGCTTTCTATAACTTTAAGCCATCTTTCAGGCAGCTGATGAATTCCATCTCGGAAAAATGTTACGTCTTTGGATACGATTGTCAAGCCATTTTCGGATCTCATCCACTGATTGGAAGTGCATATCGGACAAGGCGTGTTGCATCGACCGGAACAAGTGATAATCGGATGGAGCAATATCTGGTGAATACGCCGGATGCTGCAAGACGTCCCAGCCAAGACTCATTATGGTGTCTTTTGTATTGGAAGCAATGTGTGGCCAGGCGTTGTCATGCAACAATTTCACTGGACGTTCTCCTTTGCCAGTATACGGGCGTTTTCGTTCCAATTCTTGACTCAAGCAGATTAATTGACGTTGGTAGCAGTCCGCAGTGACTGTTTCACCCGGTTCCAACAACTCATAATAAAGCACGCCCTTGATATCCCACCAAATGCAGAGAAGAACCTTCTTTCCGAAGCGATTGGGTTTTGCGACCGATTTTGATGATTCGCCGGGATTTACCCATGACTTTCTGCGTTTCGGATTGTCATAGAGTATCCATTTCTCATCACCCTTAACGATTTTCCACAAGAAAGACTTTCGACGCTGCTTATTGAAAAGAGAAAGACACGCTGCCACTCGTTGATTTTTGTTGGTTTCAGTGAGTTCATGCGGAATCCATTTTCCTTCTTTCTGGATTTTTCCCATCTCATGTAGGCGTTTGGAAATCGTTTGCTGCGTTACTCCCAACTGTTCTACAAGCTCTTTTTGTGTTTGTGCCGAATTCTCAGCGAGCAGTTGTTCCAAATCATCATTATCGCACTTCGGAGGGCCTCCAGGGCGTTATTTGTCGATTAGACTGAAATTACCGCTTTTAAACCGCTTAAACCAAAATGCGCGCACATCGTACGATACAACACCTTCGCCGAGAAGGGAACAAATCGATTCGCATGCTCTTGCAGCATTTTTTCCTTGTTGGAATTGTTGGAATTCGTAAGAATGCAGTGTCGGATATACATCTTATCTGTTGCCATTTTCGACTGTACTGAACTGAATACTTTTGAAGGTTATGTTGGGCCTTTCGCCAAACTATATGTTCTTTTTAATAGCTATATGTCAACATTGCATAATCACAAAAGAGCGGGAAAATCTATTCAATTTAAAATTGATTTCATAACTGCTTAAAATAATTTGGATTATTCATTTGTACACCTAATACTAAAATAAAAACTAAAATAACTAAAATAACAACTAAAATAACGTAACTAAAATGACTTATGAAAAGATTAGTAAAAACAACTAATATCCGAAATGTGGAAGAAACCTTGCTACACGTGAAAATTTAAAAACTTATATGGAACTATGTGTTCTCATAGAAAACCGGGACGAAGGAGAAACGGAATTAATAAACTCGATAAACTCTCATTGAGAATTTATGCATAAACTATTCATAAACTATTACTGAAAATATATAAACCAATAAACTCAATAAACTATCATGGAGAATACTCAATAAATTTAATGAATTATTAGTGAAAATAATAATCATAATTACTAAATTAAATCAACATCTAAATTAAATTAAAACCTAACCTAACCTAACTTATTCCTACTCAAGCTCCTTCTCAATGAAAACAGCCAGCACCGCGCGAAACTTATTTTTTCGGTTTCCAAGCTTACAATTGACCATAATACAAAAACGATGTAATGAATACTATCTTGTTAATAATTTTGTAACAAACGATGAGCGATGGCTAAAATTCGTTGGAGAGTACTTAAGAGACTATGACCTTCATGATATGTGTCAAGATCAAAGTCATTGATGGGAAGTATATAGGAATGAATAGGAGTGAAAATATCTTTAAACTATTGAATTTTATATTATCTTTTAAGCTATTCAAGATCCACACTTGAGACTTTGATAGCTAACTTTAATATGAGTCTACCTGAAAAAATTTCTATTAAAATCTAAAATGAAATTTCCGAAAAATTTTCTACATGAGAAAATTCTTCAATTGTTTTATATAATATTTTAATTGAGATAATATCTTAATTAAAAAATATATGAAATAATAATATTTTTATTTAGATACATGAAATAATTAAGATCTCATATAAGAAAATTTTCAGAAAAGTCTCATTTTTTAGATCTGGATCAAAATTTTTCGGTAGAGATCCCTGGAGAGTTCGCCTAAAAACAGCCTAGATACAGCCCAGATTTGACCTTCCAGAAGTAACTTTCTCAATCTTGGCTACGTCGCAAAGTGTTAACTTATTCCCTGCAACAAACGACCTACTGATGAGGGCAACTTTTTTCTGATTCCAGCACGCAAACAATGTGCGAAAGGCGGCGGCCGACTATGTGGCTCGTCGTCAGGCCCGCAAGATCTCGATGACACGCTCGATAACCTCGGCCTTGGCGCTTCCGATGAGCCAGTTGAGCGACGTGGCCTTCCTGCCGAACGCCAAGGCCGGCACCTTCTTCGCCCGCGACAATGTCTCCAACTTCATCGGCTGGTGCCGCAATAGCCTCGGCATCATCGAGTGTCTGCTCTTCGAAACCGACGACCTGATAATGCGCAAGAATGAGCGGCATGTGATACTATGCCTGCTGGAAGTGGCCCGTCGTGGCGCCAAGTTCGGCATGCTCGCGCCGATGCTCGTGCAGATGGAGAGGCAGATCGACCGCGAGCTCGCCGCTGAGAATAAGGCGAACGGCGCCAGTAACGAGGACAGTGACGACGAATACGCCGACGATATGCAGGAAGAGGTGCCTTGCCTCATATACGGCCCGCAGCCGCAGATCGTCACGAATGATCTGAAGAGCCTCGACGAGATGGTGAGTGAAGTTATGATCTTGATTTAGTTGACGCGACGAGAGAGGGCTTCGCTTTTGAGTTTTCAAACGGACGTTAGGTTTGTCGTAAAACCCCATAACTTCTCTCTATTCGAATCATATTGCGACACTACACTGGGAAAACATCGGCTAAAACAAATTAAGTCTCAGTGTTAAGCAAATTTTATCGTACAAACGAGTGAGTCAACCTGAATAAAAGTTAGGTTAGGTGTTAATAGTTAATGGTGTTAGGTGTTAGGTATTAATAGTCGATGAAAGAATTAAGCTATAAAAAAGGCAATAGTAACGCAGTATTGGTTAAAGAAAAACTGAAATGTAACAACGATATTTACTTTATTAGATGTTAAAAATATTACTGAATAGATACTTGTCAATATGTAAAAAAATTTCAATTTATGTTATTATTGATTGAGAAAGGCGACCAAAGGGCATTATTTTCTCGCTTAATTATTTCTAAAAATATATCAACTAAAATTTAATCCTACATCTAGTTTGAAATTTGATAAGCAGTTAATGATTGTAATAAAGATGTATTTATGAAATGGATATATATTTGAAAACATATTAATATAACTGCAAAATACGAATAATATCATCTCTGATTGAGAAACTAAATAAATCACAAAAATTAAAACACAACGGTAATCAGACGATACCATGTTGGGTCAGCTTTATGATCGTCTCATTGTACTAAATTTTGCACTTTAGTCAAACGAGAGATTAAAGAAACATGTAAATTTTATTAAGAATATTAATTCACTTAGTCCGCCATACATAACCTTAAAATCAAGTCTGTTATTTAAACTCGATTTGAATTGTTTTGGTAGATGTTTTGTTTATGGTGTGTGATGCGAAGTCATTTATGGCTTTTTCTTCGTTTGTAGAACGTTTTCGAAAGTCCACGGAAAGTTCGATTTTTCTCGGTAACAAAACCCACAGAAATCTCAAAATTCAGGACGTTGGTTGTAATCGTTTAAGCGATGCTTTCTCACATGATTTCTCAATAATTTGCAGAAGTTTCCCGGCAGGGGTCGCTTAGTGCCGATTCCGATGCCTCGTTGCCGATTAAATCTCTACGGCTTCGAGTGCGTTTCAATCACACGTTTCGTCTCATATATTGCCAACGGTGAGCGTAACGTGCCGCGGCTATGAAAATAACTCGCACTCTTAGGTGCATTTGACCGTGTTTACGGCGATCCAGACCCGCCGGCCATGAATATCGCGCGATCGGAAGTAAGGATGCAACGTATCGCCGTCGTTGGACGTTGTGATACTTAAGTTTTACGGGGTGCTTTTTTACTTTTTCGTTATGAGATAAGCCACAAATATCAAACATGGCGCATGTCAAAAATGGCGAGTGCTCGAATCGTCGGATAAACAATCCTCATTATTTCACTCCGTGGATTTATTTTCCGTTTTCTTCTGTAAGAAATCAGAAGAAATCCGAGCAGTATTTGTTAAATTTTTAGATAATATTATTAAATTTTTTTAATTTTTAGATAATAAGTATTTAAAAAATTTTTAACACTCATAATTTTTATTTTAAATCATATCGTGCAACAGACTGACTCGTCCTTGTTACAATATTTGTAAATAAATATTGTAACAAGGACGTAATATTTGCAGGACAAGGACGTATAACTTTATAAAAATATAAAAACGATACTATTTTGTTATAACATACAGAGTAGAGAATGTAATCATTAATATCTGCATTATTATTTTGGCAGGATATATAAAAATTGCAAGATATAAAATTCCTCTAGCATATTAACGAAGATCAATTGTGCAAGGTGTTTTTAAGTATTGTTCAATATTTTAAAAATTGATTCTTGTGTAAAATTATTTTTAAGAAGTTTATATAAATATATGGAAATTTATATATCTATATAAATATATTTAAAAAAAAATCGCTTCAGAAATATTAATAATTCTATAAAATATCGTTTTATCGTAGTAGTTAGTGAAAATAAATTTTTTTTTAACTTTTTTTAGATTAGTAAATAGATTAGTAAATAGAAATAGATTATTTTAATTTTTTTTATAGTTGCCATTCTATAAAAAGTATGACGTAAAAACGGGATTTAGGTTACGCACCTTAAATTTATATATCAGACATATTAAAATAACGCAAGAATAAAATGCAAAAGTATTTAAACTAATCAAAATCTGGTAATAATACTTTTTTGTAAGTGATTAATACAATAGTAAAAATCTGCAAAAATATTGATTCTGTTCACATACACGTGTACAAATTCGTGGTAGTAATGTACGTACTATTTAAACTCGTACTATTTAAACTCCGTTTTTACACCATTTACTTCTTAAAACGGCAAAAAAATAAACTATGTATCCGAAATAAATACAAAATCCCATCTCTTCAAATTTGCAAAAGAAATCTTTTTTCCTTTAAGAGCTAACAAGAAAAAATGTTGATTGGGTGGAACTTTTAACGTTTTGTATTTCTGAAACGATGTCCTCTGAATAATGTGTTCCTGTAAACACTTTTTTTCATAAAATAATCCCAAGAGTGTAAAATCTTTTTTTTCAACTTCCAAAATATCGAACATCACTTAAAAAATATCTTGTATATAAAAATGACAATAATGATGCCGCATTTATTTATAGTTGCCTCTCGTTAACATATTAAAGAAATTTTATTATTATTTAGGATATTATTATTACTTAGGATTTTATTCATCCTGCCAATGACAATACATGTCAATGATTGTTTTATTTTATTCCATACAATGTAATCCCTCACACTTTTTTCTCGCGGAACTCTCAATTCACGCTCATCATTTATTTACGCGTTATTATGCCGCGGAGAAAGGTCCGGGGAATCGTCGACCGCTCCTTGTTCACGGCGGCATGCGCGCGACCTACTCGGTATTTTATCATCGGCCGATTATTATTTATAAATGAATGGGTGTAACGCGCTGCGCGTTAAATGTCCCGTCCGTCGTGCGCGCAGATCGTTGACGGATCGGCGTCGCGTGATAACGCCGCCCGCCGCGCTGCCTGTTTTTTGCATTGTCCGCGGCGTTAATTGCACCGCCGCTGGCGGAGAACGCGACGCGTCGAGCGACGTCCCTGCGACGATAGAAATGTAATATTCTTGATATTTCGGTGGGTTCTCTCTAGTGTCATCGGACGTTTCGTATCTTGCTTCCGTCGCAGACAGAGGTGCGACACAACAATAGGTAGAGTTCCCCGCGGGAAGGAATTTCCGAGGGGATGCGATCTTTATTTTAAACAAAGGTCCCGATCGTTCGTCGCCCATTATAACCGCTCGTGAGTTGATACAGCATGAGGAATGCTCAAGATACTTAAATTTACTATCGTTTTCATAATCTAATCGACCGGTTATTATGAAGTTACCTGATCGTGGTATACAAATTATCCAATTATAGTAATTTAGGTATATTCCGACATGCTAATGCAAAAATAATAATCTCAGTTTATCTGGATAGCGCTTCAATATTTCGTTAATTAAAACGAATACTTTGATTTTTTCTTTGATCACATCACAGCACAGTATAAATGGCACAATGTAGACACTTAAAGGCAAAATTAAGTTGTAATTTGGGAAAGAAAATTACTCCCTTATTATTAGATTGAAATAGATTTTAATATTCGTTCGGAAAGATTTAAGAATACTTTTAATAAAATTTAGGTAAAAGTATTACAAGAATGGGAAAATTATGTTATTTAAACATAATTTTTTATAATAATAACAATATGATAGCTTTATTGAACATAATAATAATAATAGCTTATATAATAGCTTATAATAATAATAGTTACATTGAACATAAGAAAAAAACAAGAAAAAACAAAAAGTTGTACAAAGAAAAAAATAGTACAAACAATAGAAAAGATTTTTATATGAGAAATCAAACAATAGTAGAGAGAGATTTTCACATATGATATAATCTAATTCTTATCTTTGCTATATTTGTGAAACGACTCTCGATATTTTGCATATTATTATATAAAATTAATTCATCGTATGAAATAATAAAATATGGTTTATAAAAAGTTCGATTATCTGATTATATAGGCGAATACAAATACAGATTCTCGAAAATAATTCACGCGGATAGAGCTTGATGGATGTTGTAATCTGTCGCATGTCGAAATATCCCTAAACTGCCGCACCATATAATTATTTAATCGGCGAATTACTGATAAATTATATAATACATCACCCGGTGAATTATCCAATTGTTAGATTAATTACCCGTTAACGTCGTTGCGTGCTACTTTTGCGATTGGAAAGGCAGCGCGGTATAACAATTTAGCTTGGCCGAGAACGGCTTGTATTGACTAAAAATGGCGGATTAGTCGACTCGAGTGTGTCTAACGGCGGCGATTACCGCCGGCGATACACAGGACCGGCATGTGTGTAAGCATGGCTAAATCGCGGCATTTCACGAAGCGGAATAATTCCTTCCTCGGGGTTTGCGCAGCGCCGCCACGTTATCGCCGCGGCGCGGCTGCGGCGCACATATGGACATTCCAGGACGCTTTCCCGCGTTCTCGAGGTACCAAACGTTCTCGTGGCGAACTTTTGTAGGTTTACGAGCGCCTTATCTTTTGGGAGAAAATTTCGCCATAATCACGGTTACGATAAATCTCTTCCTTTTTATGAGCCCTTTATCTGTTTCATGTTATGCTTAGGATCGACGACCCGAAAAGCACTTCTCGATACTGAAAGAGTTCTTTTTCACGTCGTACGTCGTACGTCGATATTTCTCGTCGGAATCTTCTCCGAGACGCGAATCGACTGCGGATGTGATATCCGAAAACACCAGTATTTTAATGAATAAATAATGACATCGTTATCAGCAAAAAATTTATATTTTTGATAAATATACTGGGTGGTCCGAAATTCCCGCATTCGAAGTACAGGACATGATACTTTATGTTAAAACAAACAACTTTTTTCTTTAGCAAAATTGCGTCCAACAAGTAGTTTT